AATTAATTAAAGTTTTTTATAAATATAATATATAAAATTTAAATATAAATAAATCCTTTTTCTTAATTATTTAATATAAAGATCTTTAATTTTTAAAAATAAAAAATAATTAATTAAAGTTTTTTATAAATATAATATATAAAATTTAAATATAAATAAATCCTTTTTCTTAATTATTTAATATAAAGATCTTCACTTATTTTAAGAAATCACTCATTATTTAATGTTTTATGTTTTTTAATTTATTACAATTCAAATAGTAAAACGCTTTTTTTTTATTTAAATTGTCATAAGTTAAACGGTTAAAGTTAAAAAACTTTTGTTTGTCACCGCAGAATGGGAATAATACGGTGCTTATTATTACTTTTGTCTTTTTGATGTTAATATGGTACTCATTATTTATCAAAAGTAAAAGTAAGTTTACTTTTGAATATGTTGTTTTGTGGTTGTGATTGTGATTATAAATTTTTTTTTTATTTTAAGATATATAAAATATATTTTATATTTATTTTTAATTAATATTTTTATAAAGTTTTTTTTATAGAAATGTTTATATAATTTTAAGATGGTAAAACAAAAACAGAAGAAACTAAAACTAGAAGGCCCACAACAATGTACGTCGTTCTCAAACAAAACCTAAAAGGCTAAAACGACATGAAGGAAAAAAATTATGCTGCAATAGAAAGTAAGAGCATGTTTATTCAATTATAATATTCCAACTAATAACATATTCTTTACAAAAGTATCCTTTATTGTTGGTCATTTTGCAGTATTTTCCCTCTAACTGCACCTTAGGAGGATGAGATTCTTTCTTTAATATATATTTGGTTTTAGATTTTCCTTTCAAATGGTAAATTTTCCGTCACTGGTTTTTCTTCCTTTCAATTTAGGGCTGGAATCTGTCTTTTCATGGTACTATTACCATATGGTTTCTGATTCCTTAACTTAATCATTGAGAAACGACATCTGCATCATATATTCTTACTAATAGTCCCATGATCATTTTGAAAAATGATTTATTTCTTTAAGCACAATTTTTTGGCAATTAAAAAAAAGAAGAAAAAAGAGAGAGGTAATTATAGAAATAAGAAAAATTACTTGATAGAGACTTGGAATTATAACTTTTGATTAAAATGATTAAAAGATAATATTGGGTTCATTTTTATTTGCTCCTTTCCTTCCCCTCATTAATTTCCCCACTTTTAATTATCTTCTTTTGTGATATTTTTGAACCCTATGAGATACATCTTGGGATTATATTTCTTGCACAAATACATGTCTCCTATAAAATTTGGTCTGGTATAAGGCTTTATAGAATGTAACTTGTCTTCTCTTTAGCAACAGCATCAAAAAAATTTCCCTCTCTACCAATAGAGTGGGGTAAAGTCTAAGATCTGAATGTTCAATATATTTTCAAGAAGAATGTTTGTCGTATTAGTTATTATACAACTAAATTTACAATTATTTAGACAAATTAAAGATTACTTTAACATGATGAGCCATTTGCTACTCTCCCCTAAAACACTTTTAATTTTAAATTTCAGTCTTTGAATATTCATTAAAAAAATAATGGTCCCCCCATTGTGCATGGAGATAAGGAAGGGCTGGTTTTGTATGTGTATTTTAGGGCAATGGTGCATATGGTTCCCAGGATCAAATGTTTAAGGAATAGATAATACAAAAAAGCCTCAAAATAAACAAATGATATTTGTTTAAATCTTGCTCATTGGGACCACTTTGAGAAACTTGAATCCATTCTTACTGGTGTACTAGTTAATACAATTAATAGTAAACAATTCTTACTATTATAATTCCTTTCGCACTAAACAAATGGTGGACCAATAACATATGTACGTACTTCATTATCATATTTTATATATATATATATATATATATATTTGTTCATCTCCAATTAATGCTGGCGAAAAAAAAAAATAATAATAAAAATTACAGTATAAGATTCCCCCCTACCCCCGAACCCTAGATAGCACCTTACCTACTAGGGTAAAGTTCATTTTGGGTTTAAATACCTCTCCGATGCCTCGACTTTGTGCTTTTCGTAGTAGTGAATCCCTTATATTTCTGCATCGATATGAATCGTGGAAAGAGAAAGTTTCATTAACAAAAATTAATTGTTCATAAATATTCATAGGGTCCTATCTTAATTATAATTAGATTTGGAGAATGCTAGAGCTTCGGCAATTTTTTAAAATAAAAACAAAAATTAATTAAAACATCCAACGGAATGATCGGAGTGTTTGTTTGCTCCTAGGAGGACCACGACAGTGCTCATAGCAACTCACAGGATAGGCTTTATTACATTAGTATGGTTGTAACTTTTCCGATGAAATAGACTTACATTAACTGTCTTCACCAAACAACGTTAAAAAGGATCCAAGACCACTACTTCATTCTTCACGTTGAATTTTTTTTTTTTTTTTAAAACAACGTTTGGACCCTTAATTTTGAAAAAGACATTCCATCAATAATGCAAGTTTTCAATTAATAGAGTCTAGCTAATTTGTACTCTTGTAAAGTGATGTATATGAATAACCTTTAGCATGCTTCAAAAGTAAGTTAACCATGCAATAACTTTTTTTTTCTCTTTTTAACTGTAAATTAGTGAATATAGTTTCATCTATTTCTAGGTAAATTAGTTAATTTTCTTTCATATTTTAATATTATAGTTAAAAGAGAGAAAGTGATCAAAATAATTAAGGCTACTTGATTCCTTCATGCATATTGATCTCTCTTAAAATTAAAATAAATGATAGAATTGGCCAAATGTAAATTAATTATTATAGCAATAAGCTGTTCAAAAAAGATTTATTATAGCGGTAATTTTCATTTCTTAATCCATGTACTCCTATAAAGTTTAAAAAAAAAAAGAGAGACAGAGAGAGAGATATATTGTGAAACGGAGTAATTGAATTTCTTCATTAATGGCGAATTTGAAATATTTGTCTATATGCGTGATGTAGACATCATGCTCGATCGTTCTGAACCCCAAAACATGATGAAGGTGCATTTATGTGGTCCATCTAATTGTGTATACGTTCGTTGCGCAGATCGATGCTAGATCCCCACCACTGATCCTCGTACCTAGGAACCCATTTTCACTTTTCTTTTTCCCTGATGAAAAACCCATGTTCATTAATTCTGTTTCTAAATTATCAGTGATATATATAATCGAGATTATTTCTGAATTTATTATCATTTTTATTTCTATTTTTATTTTATGTTACATAATAAAAAATAATTATTTCCATCCCATAACCTAATTCACTTATATATTATGCAATATCAAACATAAAATCACTTACATTTATTAAAAAATTTACAATTAAATCGTTTAATAACTTTAAATTTATAAATTAATAGAACAATTTTATAAACTTTGTTGCACATCTGACTTAGTACATGTTTTTATTTTTACCTTTATTTTTTTATGATTAAAGTGTCTTTTAATTAGTTTTTATATATTTTAAAATTAATCCCTCTTTAACTAATCTTAAAAGCATATTCCCTATATTGGTTCGAAAAGTTAATTTTTTTTAGTTATTAGTTGCCAAACTTGAATTGTAAACTTGACTTATTAATGAATTTGACTTTTGGGTTCATAAAATAGTATGTGTTTACTTATTGATTTATATTCAATTATTGAGAGTACTTATTACTAATATATAATATTATAGAAAAAGTGTTTGTTAGTTAAATTTTTAAAAAATTAAAAGAAAAAATATTTTAAAATTATATCGTTTAAATAAATATCAATTAAAAATTAAAATAACTTATTTTTAAAATAAGAATACAATTATTTTAATATTTTCTCATAGTAATTTATTTAAATAACATAATTTTTGAGAGTTTTTTCTCATAACATTTTAAAGATTGAGATAAGAAACTCTAATTTCTAATAAAATCCTCT